TCTAAAAATATAGAAATATTACTTTTTTAAAACTATAGTACTTTAGGAGCTCCTATAAGCGGCAGGTTTAAACCCGGTACTAGTATATACTTATTCTTAGCTATATTAATCTTAATAATTTCTTTTATAGCTAATTATAAAATTTCCGTACCTGAGACTTCTATTAATAATATTTCTAAAGGGCTAATTTCCTGTTTAAATATATCTTTTGATTTAGGAACCGGAATTAGAGAGAAACCGGATAATAATAATAAATATAGTCGAGGTTTGAGTTTTAATATTAGTAGTAATAAAGTAGTAGCTTTTCTAGTCTTATTCCTATTACTTATACTTTCTTTCCTGCTTTATTAGCTCGATACCTATAGTATTTTCTTTTGATTTCGCTAAACTAGATATATCTATTAATACTATTAAAAGTAATAAAAATAATAAATATAATTTTACTAATTTTTCTGACTTTTCTGAATTCTCTTTTTTTTTCTTTATTTAGTATTTATTCCTTTCTCTAGAAGCTTCTCTAGTTTATTTATATAATTTCTTATTTCCGATTTCTTTTTGATTTTTATTTCTAATTCCAGTTTGCTATTCTATTTGAATTTAAGAATATTTCCTCTTTTGGGTGTTTTTTTCGGACTTAGGAGTAAGCTTTATTACTAAAATTAAAGCTACTTTAATTCCGGCTTTTACTATAACTAAAAACAATATACAAATTAATAGTATAACTTTATTTCCGAATACTAAAGTCTGATTTTAACTAAGATCTGATTTATATTATCTTAGTATAATATTTCTTATTCTATTTCCTCTGCTTCTTTTTCTTTTATAGTTAGCCTCTATTTCTACTACCCTTATATACTATACTAGTAACTATATCTTGTAGCTGACCCGTATTCAAGTTACTGGATATATCGGAAATTAATATAAGATATTAAGATTAATACTCGTATATCCTTAATATTTTAGCCTTAGGCTCAAGGTATTATAATAGCTCTTTTTCTCTCTTAACTTGCTAAGCTAATAATTCGCCTTATAGATATCTCTTAGAACTTTATAAGAGTATTACCTTGACTGCGAAGTTTCTATCCTTTCTATATTGCTTATTATAAAATATATAGGAGGGAAACTGCAATAAGACAAAACCTATATAAAGTATACTAGAGTGCAAAACGTGACTTAATAGCAAAATAATAAATCAAAAGCGTAAATAGTAAAGTATAAATAGTATATAGTATATAAAAGCTTAATTAATTAAATACTTATAAAGGATTATTCTCTAAGTCTATAGAAAAACCAGCTTTCTTATGTGATTTCCGCAAGTTACGTGCAAAAGGCCGTGGCCTTTACCATATAACCTAAACCTCAAAACCGCCAAAATAACACGATTTTCGACGAGTATGGCCTGCCGTACCATAATACCACATATAAGTGCCTTGTTTGGGATGCTTTTCCCAGTAGTATAAGTGACGAAGATCGGGATTAAATACCCTCTTGCTCCCTAGCCCTACTTGCAAGCTCCTTAGCTTTGCCTTCTCAGAATACCCTAAAAGCTTATAATAAAGCTCGGTTCGAAATTACAAGTGCATAAGAGGGCGTTTCTCTATTATACTTAATTAATAAAGTCTGTAGCCATTTATATAAGCTACCTCGATTAGCCAGTTAAACAAGGGCTACTAATTCCTAAAGGTAGGCTTGTAACTCTCGTATACTTCCCTGAATTGGTTTGCGAGGTCTATCCCTCTCATATATTAATTATAATTATTAATAAAGCTAGGAATCTGAAGCTTCTTTATTAGTATTTCGCTAAAAACCTCCCGTATAATTCGCCCATTTATAGACGTCTTTATAAGACGTCTTCTTTCCTTTACTCGCTAGTCCTCTGCTTTATTTACGGTATGGATATTACTTAAAGCTAAGACAATACTATTATCTTACCAAGCTAAGTAAAGGGTATCTTGAACTACTACTATAAGTAAGGTATTCTATTCTAGCTTTATAGTAAACCGATTTTTAATTGCTAATAATTCCGGTGGAAATAGCTTATATGGGCGAGTAGTACCCACTATACCAAATTTACAGGCTTATAGCTCTGAAAATAAGGGTATAGAGGTAAAGTAATTATCGAGGTATATTATAAGATAGCGGCGTGGGAGGGAAAGTACCAAATTTCGTATGAGAGAACCGGTATTTATAAGGGTTAGATAGAGAGTTATTTTTTGGAGCCCCTTTTCTCGCGAGCTCTAAGTCCAATTATATATATATCCGTAATCCGCAAGTCCATAGATCTTATACCCTTGTTTAATTAGCTTTTTAGGCATCTTGTATATATGTAAGGATCTAAAATAATTAGCGGGGTAGCGGGGTAAAAAAAAGGGGAAATATACCTGCCAAAGCACCGTATCATAAGTTCGTTAATACTGATATTAGAAGAAGAAGAGTATAAAAGCTGACAGGAAGCTCGTATAAAGAAAGTAAGAGGTTCAAGCTTATATTATATTGCAGTAAATGCAGTTGTATTTTAATATATTATTAATATGGGAGGAAGAGAGGTGTGGTACGGATGGCCAGAGCTAAATACAGTATGTGTAGTCACGTGAGTAACTAGCCTGCAGTTGCTATGCAACATATTACCAAAACTTATTATTTGGTAAGTAATATCCATTTCGCATATTATTTTCAGGGTACGAGATATGGCAATACTGCTTGATTTGCTCAAAGCGGCAGAGCGATATATGGTTTGTAATTGAGTATAGAAGACCTTTATTAAAGTCTGAATTCTAGTATATCTCAACTTGAGGCTCATTATATACTCCTATATATATAATTCCTCTAGTAGCAAATCTGTCTATTCTCGTGCCCTTTCCTCCTTTATATATAGCCTTTATATATTCGCATATTGATTAGTATTCGTAGTAATGATCTGGAAAAGCTTGCGGGCAAAGAACAGGCTAAAGTAATCGAATAGGTATACTTTTAGAGGGAAAGTAGGAGGTAAAATCGCTCGTACGGACTGTTCAGGTTCGGGTTGAAAGGGCTCAAAAGCGACGTTCGTAATTGGTCCAAGTTTAGAAAGTATATTCGCAAGGGATTGGGTGTTTTTTGGCCTTTTGGGCTGTGGAGATGGGCTAGAAGAAGGGTCCATTACATGCATGAGCGCATACTAAAAGGGCATTCTTGGACGCGATTTCATCCACGCGATGTACCTTACTAATAAATTTGTATGTAAAGGTACATAAAATTATGCCCCGCCAGCCAGGCGAGCCTCCCCTGTTTAGTGCGGGACCCCCCCCTGCCCACGCTAGTAATGTCTCACCGGACGAAGGAATACAGGAAATTGTTACTATCCCCCCCCCAAACACTTATAGTGGGTCCGATATTCGCCACACTCTCATGCTTCACTCACGCCACGCCTCACCCCATTTTTAGCCAATCAGAGCACGTAGAAGCTTCTAGCTTACAGTACAATTTGCACTATAAGAGCGGCAGAAAGCCCAGTGAGTACTGGCTCACTCGAAGTAGAAAGCGGTAAAGACTCATTGCGTGCCTTTAGTGGTGTGAATCGTGGCATGAGAGTGAGGCGAATGTTGGGCCCACTATAAGTGTTTAGCGGGGGGGATAGTATTACTATCCCCCCCCTTGAATACTTACAGTGGGTCCTTTAGTAACGCCACCCTGAAACCTCGTTTATAACCCCCAACTAGGACATATCAGGTGCTCTCCAGAATCGCTATTGGCCATACACCCTTGAGTTGGTCAGTGCAGGAGTGTGTTATCCCAGGACCCACTGTAAGTATTCAAGGGGGGGGATAGTAGCCTTGTGGCTGCTGTGGTGTGCAAATTCATTACGAAATAATACGCTGCCAGCGCCGCGCAGCATATTTTTTTGTGGCTTGGACTAATTAGGACTGGCGTAACAGGGGGCCCCTGGAGGGAGATTCTACAGGGCCTTTAGGGCATTTGAAGCCTGTAAGAAATCCTCGGTGGGAACGAGGATTTTAAGAAGGCTCGGTGGGAACAAGGCATTTATACCCCTATAGCTATAGCCCAGAGATATGCCCTATAGAAAATAAGAAATCCTCGGTGGGAACAAGGAAAATCCCAAAAAAAATACGCTGCCGGGCGGCAGCGTATTATTTTCCTCGTGAATATTTGAGAAGCTGTCTTCAACTACTAAAATAATACGCTGCCAGAGTGGCAGCGTATGTTGGCGCCTGTCAGGCTCTCACAAATCTTAGGGGGGTTTCTACAGGCCTTACAGGCGGTGCTTGGGGCGGGCAGGGGTTGCTACAGGGCTGGGGCGCCACACGCTAGTCGAATGGGGGAGGGGGCGTTTGGCAGCGTATGCTTTTAGGCGATATTTTTACATTCATGCATGATCACCACGCCGATCTGTACCTCGGATCAAAGCGAGTAACGATTTTGGTTAGTGCGAAACAACCTCGCAATATTTACGCCGTAATTTAAATTATGAGGCCTTAGGCATAAAGGCCCACATTGGCAAGCGGTACTTTGATACCTGGTAACTTAGGCACCTCTTTCGCTTATTAAGATGCTTGGCGTATTATGTACGAAAGTACCTCCTCCTACTTTGTCCGGATAAATCCGGTATAAAGGTTGCCTTCTGCTCCATGTCTTTAAACTTTAGAGTTATATTCATTCTTGATAGGAGCTTTGTGCTACGGTCCCGAAATTTAAAGACAGGCCAATAGTTATAATAGAGCAAGGGGGAACAGCTGAAAGGGCTTTTAACGCTATTAACGGGACAATTGATAACATGACCATAACTAACTTATTTATAAGTGATAGTAAGAGCGGTGTTTTTGGTGTTCTAGAGGGGTAAATAGTATAGCTCTCCAATTGGTCCAATCCTCTTTTGATTGATGCCTCAGGTATTTTAGCGCTCTTTTTGAAAAGTCTTCATCTCTCGCAGCTTATGGGATAAACGACATTATCCAACAATTATTTCTCTTTCTTCGCAACTCTGACCTGCATTCGTGAGAAAAATGGCTTGCTCAACCAGCGCTGAGGTAGGAAGAGGGGACTCTTCCACAATCCGCCAGAGAACTTGTACTCGTTCTGCATGCTGTTCCTCCTCTCCTACACCAGAGAACAGATGCTGTGATGGTAGGCTCCTCCCGGCCCTGTGACATTTCCAGCTCATTAACTAACTCATGCAGACAACTGCCTCGTCGAAATCGCACGCCGGGATTGCAAGAATGAGCACAATCATCGAAACAAGCTTCCCTCGAGCTCCCAGTCTTCCATTCCACTCCCATCCGACGAAGAACCATGCGAGAGCCACCTTTCCAAAGCAAAGGCTGCATATAGCGAGATGTTGAACAATATTGGGTGTATTTGCAGGGTGTTGCTTTCGTTGAATTTGGAATCGTGCTGTGCTCTGGAGACTGGGACTGCTCGACGCAAGAGTTCGGAGAAGGAGGGACTTTTGGCGGGAATGAGAAGAGCTTCTAGTGGGTGGAGTTCTGTCAAGTCGGTTGGAGGCGCTTCGTGTGCTGGGGAGTCGTGCTGCTCTCCCCCGAAGGGCGAGTTGGTGGACACGATCACGAAAATAAACGCCTGTTGCTCTACACCGCCAGAGCAAACTGGAACCAATATTGGAATGAATATTTCTGCCACAAAAGCTAGGTTCACCTGTGGTGTCAAAGCCAGCCCTAAGCATGCCAAAGAGGGTTTGGACTGCTGCGGGGAGGAGACAAGTTTCGTCGACGATCAAGCTCCTGCTCCGGATTGTGGTAAAGGATGCTGTTCCGAACCGAGCGTGGAACCAGCCGTTACATCGAAATCTGTAAGTGGTTGGAGCAAAGGAAGCTGTTCTGAATCAGCTGTGGAACCGATTGTTGTCGCTGCACCTCTGGGCGATTGTAGAAAAAGCTGCTGCTCAGAGCCAATCTCGACTCCATCAGACAGAAAGTCGTCATTGAATAGATGCTGTTCTACTGAGGTTCAGGCTGGGAAGCACACTACCCTGGGAGTGGAAGAAGCAAATGGTCGCAAAATCGGATGCCAGGATGTCTCAAATCCGACTGGGAAGCGCCCAGTCACTAAGGAAGCTTGCTGTTCCAAAACCAAGTCAGGAGGCAACAAATGTTCGCAAGATATCGAAATTTTACCCTACACCTCGAACGCGAGCGCCGATCAGGTGGACTTGGAAAAGGGGGCTCTTGAAGTCGAACATCTTATCATCAGTGTCCAAGGGATGACCTGTACTGGCTGCGAAAAATCGCTCTCCAAAGCTCTGACTTCAATGCCAGCGGTTTCCAATATCAAAACCAGCCTTGTATTGGGTCGAGCAGAATTTGATTTTCGCGCAAGTTCCGCCGATATCAGCGTTGCCGAGACTATCAAGACCATTGAGAAGATGACTGGACTTACTTGCTCGAAGATGACATTGTCTGGACACGAGCTTGACCTTATTGTGGAAGACCCTACACTCTTTATAGGCGACAAAGATCTACCATATGGGATTTCCGATATCGCTATACTCGATTCTCGCACCATTCGAGTTACCTATCATCCAGAGGTTCTTGGCGCAAGAGATTTGACGGGCAATCCATTCTTTGAATTAGCCAAGCTGGCCCCGATGGCAGACCCTCCTCTCATCACATCTGGTAGAGCACATCTTCGCTTGATGCTCTTCAAGACGTTGGTTTCTACGAAGATCACGGCATAAAGTGACGGGATTACAGGGCATTTGGACCCTTGGCACCCCTCAGGACACAATTCAGTGGCTTGAGCCCGCTGTAAGGCCCTATGGCTCCAGGCCATATGCCCTAGACAGATCTCAAGAGGCGCTATGAGACATTCGCAAGGTATGAGGTGTCCTTAGGGGTAAATAGTGCTGCTGGCAGAGCAACCATAGCGCTTGGACGCGAAATAGGTAGTTACTATAGGGCTCTTTGGCGAGGTGTTCCTTGTAAGTACAGGGGAGGAGCCCTAAAAAGGTGTAGTACCCCTAACTCCCGCTTTCTAGCGTGCTTTTAGGGCAATGGCCTAGAATTATAGGGTAATTTAGTGACCGAGTGCGCTAAAAAATAGATACTGAAGTGCTGTAAAGCACAAATGCCCTGTAATCCCACCACTTTATGCCGTGATCTTCGTACAGTGCTGACTATTCCTGTGCTTATCATGGCATGGGCCAAGCTTCCTCCTCGAGAAATCGCTTACGGAGCTGCTTCACTAGTCCTCGCAACGATTGTGCAAGTGTACATTGCTGGCCCATGGTATATCAGCGCTTTCAAGGCGCTGTTTTTCTCGCACCCAGTGAAGTAGACTTTCTAGTGGTCCTCTCCACATCAACCGCCTACATATACTCCATCATTGCCTACGCTTGCCTGGCTTATGAAAAGCCTCTTTCAACTGGGAGCTTCTTCGAAGCTAGTACGCTACTGGTAACATTGATTATGGTGGGACGCCTTGTGACTAGTTTGGCAAGACAGCAAGCTGTGGAGTCGATCTCTATTGAATCACTTCAACCATCAACTGCTATTCTCGTAGACCCAAAATCAAACTCTCAAGATGAGATTGATGCGCGACTCTTGCAATACGGAGATGTATTTGTGGTGTTACCTGTATGTATTTATGCAAACGGCGGTTTAAGAATGTTTCTAATCTGTTAATCTAGGATTCGTCAATCGCCACAGATGGGACTGTCATCTCTGGCATATCGGACGTCGACGAGTCTATGATCACGGGCGAAGCTACTCTTGTGGCCAAACAACCAGGTTCCCCGGTGGTTGCCGGATCTATAAATCACTCTGGAACCTTAACAATTCGCCTAACCCGGCTTATGGGAGACAATACAATCAAAGCGATCGGTTTAATGGTTGACGAGGCAAAATCTTCCAAAGCCAAGTTCCAAGATATGGCAGACAGAGTAGCGGCTTACTTTGTCCCAATTATCCTTGTTCTCACAGTCATTGTGTTTATTGTCTGGGTGGGAGTCGGTAAAGGAATTCGAGATTATTCGACCACAACTGCATGCATCAACGCCATGACTTACGCTATCTCCGCTCTCATTGTGTCATGTCTATGCGCAATCGGCCTAGCTGTTCCTATGGTTCTGGTCATCGCCGGTGGAGTGGCTGCTAAAAACGGTGTGATCTTCAAGTCAGCAGAAACGATTGAAAAGGCTAGAAACATCTTCCATGTCGTGTTCGACAAGACAGGCACCCTCACGCAGGGGCTGCTCGCGGTGGAGAGAGAGATATACCCAACCGGCGAAGGAACCACACTTGGTCCAATGATTCTTGGTTTGACAAGCGGTAGCAAGCACCCTGTGTCGACAGCCATAGCAGCACATCTGAAGTCAACTGTCACCAAAGCAGATGAGCTGAAGAACGTCACCTCGATTGCGGGCTGTGGCATTAAAGCTACCTGGGGAGAAGAGAATATTCGTGCGGGAAATCCATACTGGCTGGGAGTTGAAAACCTACCAGCGGTCAAGGATATCCTCTCCCTCGGAGTCACTATCTTTTGCATCACTGTCAACAAAGGTCTTGTTGCAGTGTATGGTCTCAAGGATAGTCTCCGACCAGATACCACGGCTGTTATCAACGAGTTGAAGCGGCGGAACATCGAGATTTCTATTGTTAGTGGTGACAATGAAGAGTCTGTCAAGTCTGTTTCTCGAACTCTCGACTTGCCTGAAAGTCATGTGCGCTTTCGATGCAGTCCAGCCGACAAGCGGACATACATTATCCACAGCAAAAAATGTTGTGATGTTCTGCGGCGATGGAACGAATGATGCTGTGGCACTTGCTCAAGCATCTATCGGTATGCACGTCAATGGAGGCACAGATATCGCTCAAAGCGCAGCAGATGCTGTCCTCATCCGACCAGCTCTGGGCGGAGTCATCGTCCTCATCGACCTTTCTAAGGCCTTTTATCGACGAGTTGTCTTCAACTTTACTTGGTCGTTCGTCTATAACACCTTCGCGATTCTGTTGGCCGCGGGAGCATTTCCGAATGCAAGAATCCCACCTCAGTATGCTGGTTTGGGTGAGATTGTAAGCGTTTTGCCGATTATTGCTATTGGGGTGCATTTGAGGTGGGCTAAGTTTACCAATTTCAAGGTCTAAGTTGGCTTGTGCTTGGTGGTGATGGGTAGGCTTCGCTTCAATGGTGCATTCGTTCACTGGCCTTGTAAACTGCCTTGAAGCTCTTCCCATCCGGGCTCTCAACAAAATCCATAACGCCTTGGATGAAGGCAGATGGGTCGATGTTTTACTTGTATTTGTGCATATCGACTCCTAGAATAGATCCCAATATGCAAGCACGGAAGACCGGTGGGCATGCGAAAAATCAAGTTCGTATAGTTGCTATACCAATACGTAACCATACCACAGCTACCTTTAACAATGGAATAATACTTCAGGGTTCGAGAAAAAGTCCAAACCAGAGATTTGAGAGTATCTCGGCCACAAATCTGTTTATTGCATACTTACTCGAACCATAGCTTCTAGAAAATATATAAGGTACAATCAGGTGGGTTAAGTGTTCGTCACGTGACTTTAGCTCTAAAGATATTCAAAAACTTATAACTTTTTATATAATATATCTATTAATATTCGGTTTAAAAATTTAATACTAAGAGCTTAGATATATAAATAATATAATATAAGAGACTTATTAAATTAAATTAATAATATATTAATATTAAATTAAAAATTATATAAGATTTCTCAAATTTTAGTCTTATTATACTTATTATTTACTAATTATAAATCTTTAAAACTTTAATATGTTTAATTTATAGTAATTACAAATAAGGTCGCCAAATTTCACATGATTATAGCTTATAAATATAAAGTTATTAAAATCTAAAAGTTATGATTTTCGTATATTTTCGCTTATTTTCGCTTATTTTCTCGAAAATCTATGAATTAAAATCTTAATATTATAATAATATATTATAATTATTATGTATAACTCGTAAATAGGCTTTAAAATACTATAAATAATAATACGTTTTAGTCTTAGAGAATATTATTAACACAATTAAAAATAATAATAGTTTAAAAATAAGTCTTTTATTTTTATAATACTTTTATAAATATTTATAGTTTATTATTAATTTGAAAGTTAATATATGTAATTAGTTAAATTAATATAAGCAAATATTAAAGGCCTTTTATTTCGTTTAAAAATAAGCAAATTTCATTAGAATTCAGTAAAGTTATAATAAAAGGAGTGAGTAGTCTCAAATTATTATATAACGATGACTTTTCCCACCTGATTATACCTTCTTCCCAAATACCTTCGCTTTTCTCAAATAACTATGTTTCCGAAACGAAATCGCAAGGGAGAGAACTCTCGAAGACGGAAATATACTCTACTTAAAAAGGCTTATAAATATGGAGAGCTATGCAGTACCCATATTATACTCTTTATTTACTAGTCTGGGCATTGGTTTATATACAGATCTACTAACCGATAATTATTCCCCCCATTATAGGAATAGATTATAAGTATTATAACGAAATATATACGTAATACTAATAAGAGAATAGCAAAGGTCATATCCACTCCCTGATAATCTGCTATAACAGGATTTCTAATATTAAGAGCAGGACTTTTTGCAGTTATCTTTAATACTATTAATCCATATACGGTACTATGTTTTTTAAAGTTCGGGAACGGTATGGGCCGCAATCCTCTTTGAACCCTGCCGCTAATTAATAAGGCTTGCGGCAAATCTACCAAGATAGGACATTAAACTTTGCTAGGATTTAAAGAGTAGTAATAAGCCGCAAACATATAAGAATGGGTACTGAACCGACAAATCTGTACAAATACCAAGAGTCTGAATACGCTACGGGCAGGGAGATCAGTGCTTTTCGGCTGGAATTCGTTGGTTTCCTTACTAGTATAATAATAAAATCACTGTCATATGGAACGTATATTTCGGTATTAATTCACTATCCAAGGCCACAATATTCCATGTATCTGCGAAGAACTTCCTCAAACAGAACGAACCATGAGATTCATCTGACCGCTACATCTTGAAATCGGTGTTGAAATTAGGGGCCTGAGGCCCCTAATAGGCTTAGTAAGCCCTGGAACAGAGCCTTAGGGGCTGTGCACTAATGGGGCTTAAGCCATAGGCTTATTACTGAGTAGATTATGCCCTGTAAGGTTGATTCAGGGCATAATATGCCCTGTGAGGCTAAATCAGTTCAGCTGAGGTTGAATGGTTCAGTATAAGGCTCTCTGGTTTAGGGGTTTAGTGCATGTGACTTAGGGGGTTCAGGGCTATATATACGGGCTACTTACCACTGTAGAACAGCAGTCAATTCAGTACGTTTTACTTGGTTTACATTGCAAGCACGTGACCCTAGCTTTATTATTTAGCTAGTTCAACAATCGGCTTCCGCCCAGATACACTCTTTTAAAATATTGGCCCGCTTCTTGATCCTGGTCCCTACTAATAGCCTTACCGAACTCAGTCAAGCGAATACAGGGGTCTAAGAGCGTAATCACTACTGCCTACTAGCAATACTGTAATCTATTACTTGTGGTAGTACTACCGTATGTACACATGAGTGGAATTATCCCGTCTTTGCAAGACTGTGTTTGGGACATAACATGGAGCCATTAATAAACAGGCGAACTCATTGACCCCTTACTGGAGACAACATCCGTCTTCTAACCCTTCAACCGGGCTTATTCAACGATCCTATTCACTGCCAGCTTGAACAAGTTTCCTTTAGCACTGGACATGCCTACGAAGCCTTGTTATACGTCTGGGGAAACGCCAGGGATACTGCGCCTATGATTCTTGATAGGATGCCATACCACATCACGAAAAACCTGGAACGCGTATTGCGGTATTCGCGTTGCAAGGAATCTCCGAGAGTTCTCTGGGTCGATGCCATCTGCTCATAAGGCGATTGATACTGAACAAAACACCTCGGAAACTTGAGGTATTAACCTCGGTTTCTGACGGGTTCGTTTTGCGCTACCGGCAGCGTCTGTGCTATGTTTTGGTCGTCCAGCCAAGGATCTCACGTTCGTAGAATTTTGATTTTCTAATTTGTGTAACATGATCCCTCCCACTAAACGGGGTCTAGAGTCTAAGATTTTGGGTTTCTGCATGACTCCCGATACCGCATCCATTTTACTGGTGTAAAGAGGCGCAATTTATGGAAGGGGCGCTTGCAGCTCTACAGCTGCGAGCGCATTGGCTTGTAACACTGCAGGATGGCGTACATGCCTTTTTCGTACTGCAAGCCAGAGTGCCGCCAATTGCAGTTCAATATTAAATTAATACTTTATAAAGCTTGCAATAGTTTTCTTAAAAGTCTTATTAAGCAAAAAAAATTAGAAAAGTATAACTATTCTCATTATCATTTTTTTTTTAAAAAAAGAAGTTTAAAACATTTCAATCATTTGAAAGATTGTTCTTAAGGTGGCTGGAGTTGAAAAGAAATGTTATAGAGCCACGATCGGACGATAGAGCTGTCGGAGCCATTCGCGGCAATTGCGAAGCCCGTTAAGGATGAGGTGGTGAGATGGGTGACTGCGGTGGGAAGTTCGCAGTAACCAGAGATATATATGCTGAGGTGAAGTATTCGAGTGGTGGAGGTTTTTCACCAGCATCGATCGCAGCTTGTGCAGCTTCTGCACAATCCTTCTCTGCCTGCTTTTGCTCCTTGGACTTCCTTGGTCGAGCACCGCCGCGTTTCAATTTCTTCGGGACCTCTGCGTCTGCAGCTGTGGGGGTGGGCATTATGCCGCTGAGGAAATTAGGCTCTAGAGGCGCTGCTCGGGTTTCTGGGCTCTTGTCACCCCTTGCCAGCATAATCTTGGCTTTTTGAGCTTCCCTGATGAACTTCTGTCTCTCGGCCTCATCTTCGACTGCTTGCGCCTTAGCTAATGCAGTCTCCTCCTGTTCGATATTTCTTGCCACACTCTTCTCTCGTCGCTTCCGTTGTATATCCTTTTTGCGCTCCTTCTCGGCTTGGGAGACTTGCATAATTGGACGTTGCGAAGGTCCTGGGTGAACTCTGATCTGTTGTTGCATTTGCTGGGGTGCCTGTTGGCCAGATTGCTGAGGCATGTGCTTGGCTAGGAGGAAGGCTGAAGTAGTCGATGAAACCATGGTCTGAGGAACAGGGCCGGTTTGGGTCAGTGCAGGAAAGCGCGTACTCAAGGTAGGTTGTGGCGAGGAAGCCTGCTGCATTACCGAATTTTGCAGGGCTGGCTGTATATTATCAATGCCATCAATAGAGGATTCTGAACACGAGACAGAGTTTTGTAGGCCTCTAAAGGGTCTCTTTGGAAGAATTGTAGGAGTTGGAACGGGGCCTGTAGACTCTCCACGCCCTATCTTCTCATCAGCTTCATTTGCAATTTGTTCCCATGAACTCATTTCATCCGATGTCGCATGGCGTTGGTAGTAGTTTTTGACCTGCGTCTGGGTTCCAGAGAGACGCCGGCTCTTGTTACTATCAGACGGTATAGTAAGCCATTGTTGAAAGACGGTGGCATACACCATTATGTGCGTTTTTGAAGTCATATGCCTTGCTATCCCGTACCAGTCTGTCCCAAAATATCGCAGTAGCGCAAGGAAGTCGGTTTGTTCGGGTACGGTCCAATAACCAGAGTTCTGCTCCACATTGAAGCTCATAGGCACAGAGTGGTCACACTGCACATGTCGCAGTGGAGATACCGGCACAAGATGATTGTGAACGACATGTACCCGTCGGAATTGCTGTATCTCATCCTCATCGCCATCGTCATCTTCGGCTGCTTCCTCCGCATCGTAATTAGCACCTTCGACGACTGGCCATTTGGATCTTTTCCTAGATGACGCTAGCGTGGCTTTTCGACTGCGCTTGCCCAGCTGGATCTTCGGCGCAGCGATTGGGTCTTCTTGAGGCTCGTTCATCTCGATGATTCGCTGGTACCACATCTTGCAGTCCACATTAGAACTATATAGGCGATGGTTAACAGCTGACCTCCAGGATCGTGAGTGAATAGCTAGCCCAAAACACGGAAATATTAGCGTACCATTGAATCTCAGATCCTTCATTACTACCGTCGATATCGTTCTCAGCCTGACACCCGGGGCACGATGACATAGACGTCTGCGGTCTGCGAAAGACCATGCTCATATTCACCTTCCTGCCTGGCAAGAAAATAGAATCCCATGGTGCCGTGAGATCAAGCTTCCTCTTCGAACTAGACTCATGTATCGCATATTCGATATTCCGTACCTTCTTTAGTCCCGGTACGTAGCGGAACCGAACTTCCATTACCGCCTGAAACGCTTCGAATGAATTGATAAACTCGATATGGAATGGAGCTATCCGGCCGTGGGCATCCTCAAAGGAGATAGGCAGTTGACGGTCAACTTGCGCAGGGACTTGGAATTGGAGTTTCTGTATATCCAAGACCATCTGGTAGATTTTCATGTTTGTGGCGAGGACTTTGAGCATAATTAATCGGAGTTCTTCGGTTTGCTGGTGGGTTGAACAAGTTGTAACATTTCGGGAAATCGTAAGGATAAGATCTGCCTGAGTATTTAGAAGGTCATGGTTCCGCTTTACTAGAGATTGTGCCTCGTCCGTCACCTTGCGGTGTTCCTTGGTTTCCAGTTGGTAACTCTTCGCCAACTCCGTCTGTAACGCTGTCGCTGATCTATAGAGTCTATTATTAGCTGCTAATTCGTTATGCTTCGTAGCGTATAACCTTCTTTACTTACAAGTGTATTGTCGTTAGCAGAGTATTAATGGTCAAAGTGTGCCCTGTTATTTCCGCTCTCAGCTTATTAACCGCATCTTCCTCACACAAAGCCCATTGTATCTTATGCAAATTAGTACGCCAACTCCATTTCGAGAAAGTCGTATGAGCACCGAGGGACGTTTTGAACTTCGCGTTCCGCCTCAAGAAATCCTCAATGCTCTCTTGACATTGCAATGCGGCCTGTTCCAACGCGATCTTCTGTGATGCCTGAGAGTCCTCAACTTGGAGATGTCGGACCTCAGTCAATGCGCGTTCGAGGCTTATCAACTCGCTGATAAGGCGTCGGTATTGCAATTTCGCTCCAACGCTGTCGTTTAGTGCTATGATAAGATCTTTCACAAGCTTGACACCTGCTGTAAAGTCGCCAAAGGAGAAGCCAAACCCCGGGATCGCCATGTCATACTAGCATCCAAAGCGGCAGATGATCGTGAGCTCCCTGGTACTACCGGACCGCCAGGCTATAAGAGTTCAAAAGGTTGTGCAAGTTCCACCGCTAACTGTTCCTCATTCTTAGGTTAACGGCGACCCCGAAGAGCAGAGTACGGCTGTGTCGAGGCTGTGTTGAGGCTGTGTGTCGAGCGAAAATTATTTTCATCACGTGATTGTAAAGTAAGTTACCAGATGCAAAGTCCGAGAATCTGCCGGGATGGTGACTCGGTGTTTGCGTTCTGATGGAACGATAAGTCTGCTCATAAGTCGATTGATACCGAACAAAACACCTCGGAAACTTGAGGGTTTGACCTCTGTTTTCTGAGGGGTTTCGTTTCGCGCCAATCCCCCATTAACCACAGAGCGCCGCCGCTGACTAACCGCGTTGGAAAAAATATCGTCTGAGATTACCAGATAAGTCAGACTCAACTTTTTTTTCGCTGGTTCTGTTTTAGTGTTTGGACGTGAGCAGCTGCCGCCTTAACCTGAGCCGAGGGTGAGCATTCCTGAGCATGCCTGAGCACGCCTGAGCACGTCCTGAGCTCGGCCTGAGCAACCTGAGCACACGGCAGAGTCAGCCTGAGTATGCGCTGAGAGGCCATTTTAGCTCCCCAAGGGACCCGTTCCGGCTCCCTTAATACTCGGTTACACTTTCCTCATTTTGTCTCCCCATTTTGGCTCCCTTGCGACCGAGATTCCCCCGGAGCCATTTTTAGATCCACATTCGCTTATATATACATAATAGGTAAGTCAGCCTTATTATTCCATAATATCTCATTAATATCTACAGGGGCGATTTTATATAATAGGAGCTTCGGTATTATTTAATTTACTCCTCTTTGCTTTTGGATATTTTAATACTATACTTTCCTCGCATGTCTCTTTTCTCTTTCTTTTTCTCCTAGTTTTTATTCTGCTTATAGAGGGCAAAGAGCCAAGGTGCTCCGATAGCGAGTTTGATTCCTGTACTATTCATATATATGTGATATTGCTTCGGGAAGGGGCGTATATCAGTTCTATCTCGGCGGATGGGATGACTGGTTCGGGTTAATCGTCGTGAGATTCGTACAGCTACGAGATTGCCCTACCAAAGGGTTACGCTGAGGCTTAGGAAAGGGATCATGCATGCCATGTAAGGGACAATCGTATTAGCGAGACTGAGAAAGGGGAGATCGCCGGTGGCAAGCCTGCTAATGGTGATATTACATAGCAGTAATGCCGTATCAGGGAGTAGTCGCACTACTATCCAGTGGTACTGGGAGATTCATATAAATCCTAGCAGTCTAGGATCGTATTGGCACCGGAGCTTCACTAACAAAGGGGAGGGAGAGGGTCAGCTAGCAGACGCCAGGCAGAGGTGGAGATTCATGCAGTATCGATGCCGCATCCAAGGAGTCACACCAAGTGCCAGTGGTACTGGGAGATTCAGAATCACACCAGCGGCATAGTTTAGTGACAAAAGGGTGCAGGATCAGCTGGGTATGGGTCAAATATCCCGTATTTATTTATTCGCTCCGCAAAAGGCTTTCTAGACAGATAGTAGTAGTCTCAGGTCCTCCTATCCCAGGCCCCCTTTTGCGTTTAAACAGTCCAGACATCAGCTAGTATTCCCGGCAGTCTGTTCATGGCTGTCCCTTTCTTGTCTGGTCGAAATCCTCCCCAGCCTTCTCGTAGACCACAACCATAACCCGCCTTTTTCCCCTTTATATTTTCTTCCGGCCCTTTCCTCTAGTCGTAGGTATGTATTTGAACGAGGTACGATATACAAGAGGAGGTCGAAAGTAGAGGGTTGTGTCGTGAAAATTTTGTGTCGGATCTCGATCGTTGGTATCGCAACGGCGTCGTCGGGGTCTCGGCGTCGAAGGGACTCAATCTTGGCTCTGCAGACTCTCAATCGAGAGCTGGAGGTTCGTAGAGGACACCGCGTACAGGTGTTGAGTCGTCGTCCTCCGCGCTGGACCATGGTACAGTGCAGAGTCAACTAAGCTTCCTCCCACAGGTGGACAGGCAGCGGCTGAAGCCCTGTGTGCCTACTTGTCCCTTGGCATCTGCTGGGACGAATGTCCGAAAAGGATCTCGCTCATCCTTCTGTTGGCCAGCCCCAGCGCGGGAGCTAGTTGTACAGTAAAAACTCGCTATAAGGATACTCAATATAAGGATATCCTCACCATAAGGATGCTTGCTACCTTAGGATCCCAATAAAAATTAGCCCTAAGATAGAATATCCTTACGATTTTTTATCCCAACCTTGATTTTTTGGTGTTTTATCCTTATAATTATACACGTGATAGGCTAATTTACTGCTCTTATCAGGCAGTGTGTCAAATGATTAGATTAGATTAGATTAATGGGCATTAATCTAATCTAATCAAGGAAATTTACCATTAATCATATTCTAATCATAATCTAATCAGATTAATTGATTATTAATTGATTAATTTGATTAATGAAGCACGTGACTAGACACATGATAGCACTAGCCGTATAGGGAGCGCGCTTTACCGCATTAGGGCTACGGCCACCTAGCGGCGGCCTGGGCCGCAGCTTACCAAGCTGTGAGGCATACAATAGCAGGGTGATACACAAGTAGTCAAGGTAAGTAAGCTTTAGAGTGACGCTTGCAAGTGTAACTGATTTCCAAGAGTTGATTCCAATAAAAGACTAATCGATGCCCCTTTCCAAAGCTAGGAGCGTCTCCCTATATATTCCCTAGTACTTAGCCAAGCGTGCGAAGACCTTTACTTAATTAGGAAATGCGATCCCATACAAGCTTTACCCAAAATAGGAAACTAGATCTACGATATCTGATACTCGTCCATGCGCCATCACGTGCGCCCCTTATAGATAATCAGTTTATTATTATAGAAAAGAAGTAATTAGTTAGTTCTTAGCTTAATTTAGATTTTTTTATTATAATATTATTAGTTAGTTATAAGGTTATTTAATAATTAATAAGTAAAAGTAAAGAGAAAAGTAAGAAAAGTCAAGAAACTCCGGTGTCACGTGATTAATTAAGCATTAATCAGATTAATCAAGATTAATTAATCTAATCTAATCACAAAAAATCTGAATCACGTTAATCATAATCTAATCACATTAATTAATTAATTAATCGATTAATTTGATTAACGTGATTAATCCTTTGACACACTGTTATCAGGCCTTCAGGCATCAGTAAAACCACATTCTAAGCATTAATCTCACTGCTCCAGAGCCTTTACAGCCTATCCGTTCCGCTGCGGCAGCGCCCGCCCTGGCCCGTGCGCATTTAAGCGAGGGTTTTAAGCAAATCATAATCTCTAATTCCTGAACTAAGACTTCTGATTTGCTGCAATTTTGCGGTATATTTGATCACGGAAGGGCGGGCGCTGAAGGAGACAAGAGACGGCGCTCCAGCGCCCAGGCACCAGGGTGCTGCCGCGTGCCGCTAGAATGTTCGAAACCTGCACTTACGCCACACGCGTGACCATTTTACGCCATATACGTGATCAGTCACAAGATTTTGGCTAAGTAGATATAGCGAGCCTGGGCGTGAACATAGTATATTGTAACTCGGCTAATGCACATTACTAAGCACCGAAACATGTGGCCCGTCTCCTCGCACCGGCGAAACTCCCGGACCACATTTCTTTTCTTCTCTGAATGTCTTTAAAATTTGGAGTTATATTGTTTCATTATGGAACCTTCTCCAAAGTGCCCCGAATTTTGAAAAAGACTTTAATAGTCGTGATTAAACAGGGGGAAACAGCCGAAGTAGTAATCGGTGACATGATTAAAACGATCGATAGCATAACTAACCACAATTTTTTCTTTATTGCTAAGTGGTCTTCTTAGAGAGAAATAATTAAAGAAAGTAGCATGTTATTAATAACTTCGTAGACTTGCCAAGAAAAAATTTATGATTCCAAAACTATAGATTCGTCTCGTGACAGGGTGCGTCTCGGGACGCAGGGACAGACGTTATTGCTGTTCACTAGCACGCGCCAGCAAACAAGATATGCTGAAAATTGCTAACCTGAGTCCCTTGGGACCCGAGATTTTCTTCATAATATATAAATAGTATTGACGGAGGTTCCCGCTGCCGCATATATACTCTCAGTCTTTGCTGAAATGTGGCCGACATTTCGGATTCTTGTGGAAAGTGGGCCGGAAAGAGAGCAGGCTGAATATTAATACACAGCTTGGAAATCACTATAATAAGCAATAGAGACCACTTACTGAATGATATAAACAATTCTATCTGAAGCCCAAGAACCGTTCTCATTATGAGTTTAATTGAAATTAGATTCACAGACCGAGAAGAGGTCAGTCACTCAAGCAAATCCAGTCACCAAGAAAACGCCATCAAGAGGGACCAGTCACACAGTAGGTGACTGGTCTCCATTCGGCGACTGGCCTTGTGTGGAGATCAATCACCCAGTGCGTGACTGGTCCTATCACGGAGAAAGTTCACGCCGGTGGAAACCAGTCACCCAGATGGGACCAGTCGCTCAAGAGGGACCAGTCACCCACATGAGGAGACCAGTCGCTCAAGTGGGACCAGTCGCTCAGGAGGGACACCACAACCTGGATGCCAGATGGAGACCAGTCACTCATTGGTGAATGGTCACTGACAAGAGGTTGATGAGGAGGAGGCGACGCAGGGAGATTGGATGGAGGGTGTGGAGATGGACGGGCAGGTTGTTGAGGGTGGGAGGATGGGGGGAGGATGGAAGATTTGGTTTGGCGGTGATCCGGATCCGGATATGGATAAGATGATTGAGAGACAAACGTCGGCGTTCGCCGAACGCTGAGAATTGTCGCTCATCTGCTCGGCGCAGGAGTCGTCTGCGTCCTACCAGAGTTCACAGCATCTTAGGCCATTTGGTGAGGGCGCATGTGACTTACGATTTCATGCCTTAGGCACGAAATAATGGTCTGAGTGCCTGAGGTAGTTCCGGCACAGAACCCCGCATAACTAACCTGATGGCGCTATATTGTGTGGGCTTGGAAATATACTGGGCAATACTACAAGTTTTCAAATCCCCCGCCGATTCAACTTTTTGTCTTCTTTGAGTTTTATTTCAGGAATGGTAGCAAGCCATGGCGGACTATACCCTTCAAGAGGACTATCGGAGTCGCTTTAAAGACTTTCAAGCAGTCGAGATCCGCT